CACAACACCACAGTGCGTTGCACAAAGAAGCCCCAATTCTGGGGACAGAACCATTAATCAATGCTGAACTACTAATCCCCGTTACATAAAATTAGTAACCTAAGGTAACAGATAACTAAGGAAAAAGCTAAAGGACACAATCCTTCAAGTACAAAGGAAGTCCATTCCCATATAGCAAAAAGGCTGGGAAGCCCTCTTGGCTAAACAGAGAAATCATGGTCCTCTTAAGAAAGAAGAAAGAGATGTACTGTTAATGGAAGCTAGGGACAGCCCCCAAGGAGGACTATATAGCAATGGCCCACACTTGTAGGGAACAGATTAGAAAAGCTAAGACAGTGACTGAACTAAAATCAGCAACAGGAATCAAGGACAACAAGAAGTCCTTCTTTAGGTACATAGGGAACAGGAGGAAAATGAATGGGAGTGTTGAGCCATTGCTCTGACCCAAGTTGTCTTTCCTGATTGGTGCAAGGAGCTGGATCCAACTGATCTTCTGAGGTCCCTTCCGCCCTTATAATCTATGAATCTATAAGCAAGCATTACTTACTTAAAATTAGAATTCTGGGTGTATTTAGATCAAATCCAATAGAACTAGAATGGAACTCTAATTCCTAACCCCCCCCAACCCCTTCCTTCGCCTCCACCCTCCCACTGGCCTGGGGCTTTTTTTGAGAGCAATAAGAGCTCTATTCTCTAAACAAGGACAGAACGTTGCAAAGTTCATTTACAGAGAAGCACTCATTTACATTCTTGTTGAAAGAGAAAGATCTGTAGATAACAAATGTATAATTCTAATAAATACAATTAACATTATAAGCTGTTAGATAATATAATCTGTCTTAGAAATCTTGATGGTACTCAAAAATTTAAGTTAAGTCAATATTCATTTATTTACACACACACACACACACACACACAAAACCACATAATATGAAGATATAATTTTATGTCTAGTTTATGGAGACATATGCAAAGCATTCAAGTTTTATTTTCATGGTTTAGAATATGACCAGACAATCATAATAAAAACAGAGCTTTATACTATGAAATTTAGCATACTTTATTATCTCTACATTGATTTAATAAACTGCATATTAAGTCTATCAGATAACATGTGCATTTCCCATAAATGAGCATGTCTGCATATAAAGAGCTTTTACTAGCAGAAACATATATTTGAATTAATAGAAATTAGCCTGGTATTCTAAGCATATATAAAGATCTTAGAAAGGCATATCTAATTTCGAAAATGATATATCTAGTTAATAAGTAGCATGCAGCTTATAATTCAATAGGTGATATTTCACTCAGCAGATGATATAAAATTTGTGGTGCTACAGCTGCACCTATAAAAGACATTTTTCTAGTGAGTGAGTGATTCATTTCTCTTTAGATGATTTACCCATATCAATATGAACTATATCAAACTTACAATATAATCATTTCAGTGGGTGACATATAAACCTTACAAGCAACATGCTTTTCATAAAGTTATCTAGCACAGTGTATTATAGACATATTATTTCTGAATTTTCAATTGAATGGCACCTAATATTAGTCTTGTCCATATTCATTTATATTGCAAAGTTACCTTCTCAGGCAGTTACTTAGCAACAGAAAATAAAAGTCTAATGAGTTTTGATTTACTCTGAGTATTAAAGCCTTATTGTGAGGGTATTTTGGTAGCCCTGTAATCTAAAGCATTTGTCATGCTAATTCTATGCCCCAGTGGTAAGGCTACTTGTACCATAATTAATGCACACCAGGCCATGTTACATCAAATAGAAGTATCTTCACACATTCAGTGATAATTAGCAGCTCTGCTACTCAGTGGCATGCAAACTTATCTATAAAAAAAATGGCTTAATCTTCTTATTAGTCTCTGCTGATCTTTGACAACAGAACTGAGGTATAAGAGACAAAATGAATGGTTGACTCTGCAACACAGAAAAATAATACCTTAAAAATGTTTCATAAACTTTCCTACAACCCTTTTTCCCTCATTAGTTCATTTTCCCTTGTTGACAAAATAAATAAATAAATAAATAAATACTAGATTGTATCAACAAAGAGGTTACTTGCAAATCAATGTAAATTATTCTTTCACTCTCTTTAGCACTTATGGGGCCTGTCCTGGAGTACTGTGTTCCAGTTCTAAGCCCCACACTTCAAGAATGCAAACAATTTGGAAAGAGTCCAGAATAAAGCAACAAAAATTATCAGGATCTTAGGGGACAAGATTTATGAGGAAAGGCTGAAAAAAATAGGGTTATTTAGTCTGGAGAAGAGAAGATGGAGGGAGGATTTGATAACAGTCTTCTAATACCTGAAGGGCAACTACAGAGAAGATGGAAGTAGCCTATTCTCTGTGGTTGTAGGGGACAAGACAAGGATCAATGGTCTCAAACTGCAGCAGAATACATTTAGACTAGAGATTAGGAGGAATTTTCTGGCTATGAGAGTGGTCAAGCATTGGAATGGATTATCTAGAAAATTGGAGCAATCTCCATCTCTGGAAATTTTCCAGAACAGGTTGGATAGAAAGTTGGCTGAGATGTTTAGTCAGGGATGATTCTACCTCAAGGGAGTGGACTGGATGATCTTGTGAGGTCTCTTCCACCCTTTTTCTTCTATTACCCTATGAACCTGCATTAAAAAATACTTAGCAACATACTGTTGCTCTTCTTGGAGAAAAATGAGCTTAGAAATAAAAATAAACTCCACAGAAATGTATTTGAAATTTTTGAGGCAACAACTACTCTAAAACGAGAGTCTGTAGCTAGTTAGACGGGATGTAGAATTCAAATCACAGAGAAATCCTAGGAGCCACTGACAAATCTAGGGATTTGTGAAAAGCCAGCCATGTTCTTCTGCTCAAACCACCATTCTCTTGGCTGCATGGTTCCCTTATGAGGAGATATGCAAATAGTCCCAGAAGGACAGCTATACTTGATCTGAGGCTACGAAGCCAACTTCAGTACTTCTTCAGAGGAGAAGCAGTCTGTCATTCATAGGCATGTGCGTGTGTGTGTGTGCATGTGTGTGTGCTTGCACATGTGCACTTATTTATTAATGTTATAATTTCGTAGAACTTTCTGAATTATTATATCATAAAATCCTCTGGCATTTGCAATGTTTTAATCTTTTTTTACATCAAAATCAAAAAACAGAAATGCAGCAAATTAGTTGCTTGCTTTTTCTAGAATGGGGAAGTATCATGTGATTTGACTCATTTTTAAACCCATCACCTGCTAAGAGTTTTTGTTGACATGAATAGGGCCAGGAGAGAGACAGAGAGAGAGATTCAGTTGTATAGGACTTCACTGCCTTGCTAAATGCCTGCTAAATACTATTTTTTATACTGTCACATTCTTTTCTAGGTGTGTTTCTCTGTTGCTGCATTTATAGAAAAAATGGGCACATTTAAAAGAGAAGAAAGACACATTTAGAATTAGCCTAGTGAAAACTAACAATCTCTCACATCACAACACAATGTATCAGCCACAAACAGCAGGAGGAACGTATATATCCAGGTAAAAAGACACTATTATCATAAGGGTGTGATGATAGTTTAATTTCTTCAGTATATAATTCAAAGTCACTTGTGTATATGTTACAGATTTAGGGGTATGTTGGTTTGTTTTTAAATTGATGAACTTAAAGCATTTCAGCATGTAATATTTACAGAAGGAGAATGGTTAAAAAGCTTCTGAACTGGAATCACAAGAAAGCAAAAAATATAGTAGATGTAATGTAAAAACAAATCTTAAGTATTTTCAGAGGTTGGCAAGACTACTCATGCATTACTGATTTCTATCTGAAATCTTAGAGACGAATTGAAAACAAAATGTACTATTCTGAGAAAAACGCAGATAAGACTTAAAATGTTGACATGTCATTGTTATCAGTTATAGAAATTATACTTCGAAGATTTTCAAATTTGAATGCCCAAGCCCCCAGGCCTCCTCACTCCTCAGTGCCACATAGGCATACTTACCCACTTTTGAAAATCCCAACATACCTATCAACATCTTCAAGCACCTAAATATGCTTAAAAATCTGGCCCCAGATTCACGTGTAGATAGGTATTTAATAGGTACAGAATTTTCAGAAGAGTTAGGCATTTCCAGTTTTTATTTAAAGTTGGAGTTTATGGTGCTCAACACTTCTGGAAAAAAAAGTCAGAACCTTCTTATATAAATATCTAAAAACAGATATATTTATCTATCTTTAGTTACCTGAATTTAAATACTTTGGATTAGGTGTTCTGCTCACTAAATAAACTATTCCAATCTTGTGAACAACCTGTACTACACATTTGCTTCTTTCTGAAATATTGTTTATACATAATCATAACAGTTTATTACTGGAGGTATGCTGGATTTATTTTCTTAGACAATGTTTCAAAGTTTGTTTCACTGTATTAAGAAAAGATGCCTCTTAAAACAGACAACCTTGTACATCAACCACTAATAGTCACAAATGTTTTGTTCTCAAATTATTCCTTAAAACACTGAACAAATAAATTATCGCTCTGCCAGATTTAAAAAAAAATACTGAGAGTGCTGACTTTCTTTCTACATGTTTAAATCCTGCTTTGACTGGAAGTAAAAATGGTGAATGTGTTGTCTGTCATGAAGACCCCACCAACAAAGGTAGTATACCTTGACTGCCATTCGGTCCCAGTTATTGGTGGCTGTAGAACACATCATTTACATTAACTGAATGAGGATTGCTCTTGGTGTATAGATTAATACACTACTTTCTCCTCTGTCTTTGTTCCCTCAAGATCTATGAAGTCATTCTGCCCTCCTGAATGTCCTTTGTTCTACCTTTATGCAAGTGCAATACACAGTGGATTTTGGCCAAACTCCACAGAACACTTACTTTCCCAGAAAAAAACAGTAGGAAACACCATAATGCATTTTACTACCTAAAAGGTATAAATAGGTTCCATCAAGTTTATCATTTTCACAGATCCTCAGACTGTAGATACTCACTGTGATCTGACACCAAACACAATGAAGTCCAGTCAGGCCTTGGTAACATTTTATATTTTTGTGACACTTGTCACATTTTGTCGGACAGTTTCCTTCTACCCAGAAATGGTGCATTACCTATGATAGAAAAATGCAGGCATAGGTAGAGTTACTGACTTTAACATCTATGTGCCACATAAAATACTGCCATGGGCTTACTTCAGTGTTCTTTTTGGACTTCACATATGTTTTGATGCAAGAGGCAGGTGCTCTTGAGACACAACGTTCATGCACTGTGTACTTGCAAACTGAAAGAGAAACATATTATTAATGCTGAGTTAATACAGGTTCTGATAACATTTTATACAATAAGTAACATTAGCAAAACATTGCTTCATGCCTACTATTTAATC